TTGTTTCTTAGGTGGTACTTGTAGAAAGTCTTGAAATAAAAAGCCTCCATTTTATTTTAATGTAAGACAGCCAAGTAAGTCTTAAAGGACCAGATCCTTTAAGATACTTAAACAGCAAACTACCATTCAGCTCAGTGGGAACTAGAGCTAGGCACCCAAAGTGGACCCACGTGAATGCAGGACCCTCTCTTGCAAAGGGAAACAGTGGCTTGTGACAGAAGCATAACCCCTCCTTTTTGGAGGGAAGTATCAAGAGTCACTGTGTGTAACTCTCTGGTTATTCTTCACTGCTAGAAATAAATAATTACATTATTCTTGGGGTATTTTTTGAAAGTGGTTTACTGATTTCTCTGATGGATGGAAAATGTAGGAGGATTACTTTGCTATGCATGTATGTGCGTGATGAAATAATGGTTGCCAAGTTTTTTATTTGTGTTGGCAGCAAGAAACATAAATTGTTGAGATGTGAGTGTCTGTACTGAGGATAAACCTAGCAACGTGTTTCTGGTTGTCAAAAAAAACCCCCCCCCCCCGGTGTCGCTTGTGATGTAATGCCATTCTGCTGAAGCAGAACCCTCTGTACACCTGATCTGTAATTAGATGTGATGTCACTATACAAAGGCTGCTCAAAAACTGTGATGGGATAGTTATTATAGGCATTAGAGCTATTTTAGTAAGAATGCTTTCTACTTCCTGGTCATATTAAATAGTTTGTTAACACAGAAGTTTGCTCCTTCTCTAGGACTCTTGAAGCAAGAGAAGTTAAATACTAGAAGGCATAATTCTGTAATGCTTTATATATGGGATTCACATTGGTGCAGATGAAACGGGAGCTGGGAGTTTTGGGTGCAGGTGCACAGTGTAACCGACCAGCAGGATTACACTAAAAATTGTACCTGCAGGGTTGTTCAGGCTCTTCCCTGGTTTCATCCCTGCATATTGACCTAGAAACTTCTGTTATTCTTTTTATGTTTCGGAGGTGATGCAAAATACAGGCTGTCATTCATGTATGTCACCAGTATCACTTTCTTTGGCCTAAACAGCATGTGACTCAGGGTAGTGCAAGCAGGAATTCATTCAGTCTTTTGTTTCCCTTTCAGTGGATTTCTGTCATATTCTGCATAGATATGTGTAAAAATATTTTTAATTTTCAAAGGAATGTGACTTCGCTGTGTTGATGAGAATATTAGATTCTGTTGGGCAATTTTTAGCTAAGATTTAGGAACTTAATTATCTGGTCATTGGGGGGGAGGATAAAAGTAAAATGGCATTTCTTACATCCAGTCAAATAAATAGGATGATGTTGATTGATTACTTGTAGCGTTGCAGAAGAAAGCATTATGAACTTAATCTTCCCTGCATACTGTGTATGGATGAGGTACCAATTTCTACGCGTTGGTCTGGCAAGTTCCCTGCTCTGTCAAATGGGTGGATTCAGGTCTCTGTTTGATTGATATTTGCTGGATAAACATGTTTAAAAATTGAATTATTGGCCCTTTAAATATGCTTTTGCAACTTTGGAGCCACATATGATTTGGCTTTAAGTGAACTTGCCAGTTACGTACTAGAGAAGGGAACTATCTGCTGTGCCGTATAGTGGGAGCAGTTAAGGAAGCCTGGTCGCTGCCTGCATTCGTACTTTCCAATATAATAAAACCAACCGGACATTCAGTTGCTTCAGTGCTTCTCTCTTGTGCAATTTTCTTTTCAAGCTAACATAGAAACTGTATTACCCATACTGTGGGACTTGTTGACTTCAGTGGTGTTTGCTGTTAACTGGAACAAAGGCAGGGTTTCACCATGTAACTCTAAATGCGGTAAGGGAATATACTTAGCAATGACCTAAGGCCCTTCTAGAGCTACTGACTTCATGGTTCTAGCTTCCCTGGGACTCGCGCAGCACTGCTTTTTCAAATGCACAGGACGCACCTCCTGTTCCTGTCCGTGTCTGTACATCGGCATTTAAATGGCAACTAGTAAATACCAGGCATCATTGAATGACAACGTGCTTTGCTTTGGCACGGGTGGCAGAATGTTAAACCTGTGAGGATGACCCCTTGCTTCGTTTGGGATAGAGAGCATTATCCTGAACTGCTCATCCAGCCGGCTGCCTGGCTTACAGGCATATGGCACAAAGCAGAGCTTCACTGACGTCCCAGATCCCGCACCGGGTCACCCAGCAAACAGAAAGGACAAACCACACACAACGTTTCCTTGTATATTCCAGTATTTGGTTAGAGGGCTGTAAGGAGAGATGCATGCGGTGCGTTTAAGCTCACTTAGCATCAAAAGGGTACATTTACCTCGGTAGTAATAGTACTGACTAAATTAAACCTCGTCCAAATTGAAAGCGCTCCTAGCACCGACAATGTTTATACCGACCAAGGAATTTATCTGCTGGAGTTTTAACAGCAGTCCCTGGTCTTAACCTTCCTGTAGACAAAGTTAACATTTTAAGCTATATACTCCTGGATTTATTTAGAGGTGTTGGTGGTTTTGCATTTTCCAGTCCAGCTATTGCAAAGACAAAACTGAGCACAAATCGGCCTTGAGATGTCCCAACTCCGGTTGCTGTTGTGCCGCATTCTTTGGTGGCAGAAGAAGTAGGGCACACGCAGCGTTTGGGAGGAGGAAGCCTGGCACTGGCAGCCAGCGTGGCTTGGAGAAGCAGGACCAAAGACCTGCTCTGAGGCACTGGCAGTAACTGTATTACCGGCCAGTGAAAAAAGACAAAAACAAAAAAACGACCAAAAAAATAGCTGCTGCTTGTTTAATTTGCTTCTTGTTGCAGGTTTTGTTTTTGTCCGGACAGTTGTTCCTTGCCAGGCAGAGACGTTAGCATGGGATAAGTCAGTTTTGCAGGCAGAGCCGCAAGTGTAAGATGCTCCCCCAAAAGCTGTATTTTCCTTAAATCTTACTTCTATGCTGTCACTTTACAGAGGAGTTCTTGTTTTGCTTTTGTTGAAGGATTAGGGTGTGGGAACTGTTGCCAAGTATAAAGGGTTTACCATTGTGTGTTTTTACCTTTGTGCTTCTGGAGCGAAGAGTGGCTCTGGCAACAGAAAAATGATCTCAAATTAGCACGGTCCATTCAGAAAGTCCGTAACACGGCTTTTGCGTTCAAGTGTTTTAGGGATGATGCTGAGTGAGCCAACTGAGAGCTGTGTGGGCAATGCTAGGTGCCCATATATATAACCGATGTATGCTTGGTGGTGGCAAAAAATCTCTGCACAAGACAAAATTATTTGAGTATAATCTTGAAGAGCTAAACCCTCTGCGACACTTAATATGTTGTGTGTATTTTGAGAAATGATGGGGGAAACAGTTGTGTACTCCAAGCAAAATTTATTAGAAGTCTATTCAAGAAAAAAACCACAGAGACCTTTTGCTTGTAGGAATTCAAAGTCAGTTACTTGAAAGCCAGGTATGAAAAACCTGTATTTTTCTAAAATCGGATACAGAGTAGAAACAGTACTTTTTAAATATCACAGGCAACAGATACTTAAGTCTTCAATCATAAATGGCATCAAAGATAGGTATTAATCTCACAGCAAAGCTGCATGCAGTTCTAGTTTAAAATTGAAAGCCTTCAAATATAAAGCTTTTGCCATGAAATCTGCAATAATAAAGGTATGCTGCACAAAGATGTTTCTTTACCTTTGTCTTAATGACATTTCTCAGTAATAAAGACATATGTACATTTAGATTTGGCTGGTAAACCATATTTTAATTAATAAAATTTTGCATAAAATGCTATCTTACAGAATTGCACTATCCAGATGTGCTTATGGTAAATAGAGCAAGGAAAGAAAAATGCATTGAAATGTTCTGTATGTGAAGAGGGCAAAGATCAAATAAGGAACTTAATTTTTTTAAAAATCAACAACCAAATGGCTCTGTACAAAAAAGCAAACATATGTACAAAATGCTACAGAGACTACATACACTTTGATAATTTCAATCCTTTACCCATGAGAAATGCAGTAGAAGCTTTTGCCATCTATAAGGTGCTGAAAAAACCAAATCTGAATTTTTGCTTTTATAAAGCCATAGTCATTATCATTCTGTGCCTTGATTTAATTTGCTATTTATGCTTTCCTTTGCTTATGGAAAATGTATGTTTTCAAATACTTGTTTCATTCAGCAAAAAAAGAAAAACCCACCTCTAGAATGTATCAGATTTAATACTTGTGACTTTTCTTTCTGTACTAAATTCCTAAAAAGAATGTGTAACTCGTGTTTCATTAACATACATATATATATATATATATATATATAGTGAAGTAAACCAGTACATGATACTTGTGAATATTTTTCAGGTGGCTATGTTAGGGGAAAAAAACCCCCAACAACCCTTTGCACTAACACTGTTTACTTCCTGCTTCTTTAAATTCCTGATACATAAAAACACTAACCTCTCAAATTTCATGTTGCTTACTATCACATTTTGATTACAACCATTTAATGGCAGACAGCAGTAGCGGGTTATTATTGTCTACGCTTATATCATCGTCTGTCTCTTCGTTAAATCCTCTTGCCCGAGGTTTTATGCCTCTTGCACTTCTTACCTTTTAACAGAAAACACTACAGCTTTATTAGGGGAAAAAAAGAAAAAAGGTTTAGCCAATACCATTGCACCCGTTCAGAACACTTGCAGTTCTTCCATTTTTTTCACTGCGCTTGCTTGAGATTTTACAATCACTGTGCATATGTTACAACATACAAGTGCAGGCAAAAAAATCTATATTATAATTTGTCATACATTGTAAACCAGTACAATAGGCAAACCTGTGATACGGCAAAGTGAAAAAGCAACAAATGCTGCCAAGCTAGTAAGAATGTGGAAACTCAAATAATTTTTTAAAAAATAGTAAACAGCAACTTCCCCCTGTATTACAGGCATGCTGAAAGAACCCCATCAAACTTCCTGACAGTACCACAAATGTCCACACCAAGAAGAGTTTCTCCCCTCCCCACCCCCCCACGGCAAGTGATCCGTGTACCTGTCATCAGGCTCTTCCTATCGAGTTTCAAATGAAAAGACTTTAAAGCAGGGAGTATCTAAATGTTGAAAGGATTCCTCTTGTTTCAGAAACACACAGTTACTCACACCGTGGTCGTTGCTGTAATACTGCTGGAGTGGTTTGGCGGGTGGGATGAGATGAGGATGAACTAGATGGCCTCTATTTGAGACTGCAAGCAAGAAAACGGAAGGCCAGCGTAGCATGTTTTCTAGCAGCTTTATGCAGATGTGTTGCAGAGATGCAGCATAAATAAGTAGAAATAAAAAATTCACAGCCTCTTGACATAGTTTCCAGGGAAAGTACCAAAGAATTTGGTTCTTCTTGAGGTTCCTGAAATTAGAAGCAATAGATGAAAGATGAGCATAACAACAGGAAATCACTATGTAAGCATGGCCTTTCAATTTTTATGTTTAATATTGCACAAACAGAAATATCTACAGTTCTTTATAATAGAACTTCAAAAAGTTATTTTGAATTTCATTTGTGAGTTAACAAATTGTAACTGCAGGAAGGAAAAAGCAAATAAAGAGGCATATTTGAGTAAATTGTTAGGTCTGATTAAAAGCTGTGCTAAAATTTTTACTTGGTACATAGAAATAATTTAATTTCAACAACATCAAGGGTATTTAAAATAATTTGAATTTTTGAAATGCTGAGGACTAATTAGATGGTTAAGTTAGCCACTGTGTGCATGAGGGTTTATGGAATGATTAAGCCGCCTTATCTAGGCCTCGTTATGAAATCTCTGTTTGTTCAGGAATACGTGGTTCTCACAAGCAGTCAGTCACGTGGATATATCCACGCGAGTAAGTTTTATGTTACCTGGTCTTTATGAAGAGAGCAGTAATACATAGTACCTTCTGGGTCACACGAGAATGACAACAGTGCTGGACAACAAACTGGAGGCACAAGTCATTTTGTGTCCATCAGTTCCAAAAGGCACAGGTGAAAAATCACCCACTAATTTCAGTGGATTTTGGTTGGGATTTCTCCTGATAAAGCCAGGTTCAGGTTTATTACACTGAATACCAAAAATTAATTTGTTTAAAAGTCACCAAGCAAAGAGGGTGGCAAGGGTCAGGGGGAAAAAGAAAAGAAAAAGCAACTGAATTAAAACATACCCACAAACCATCCATCATCACATTTTTCCATCACATCAATGACATCTCCCTCTCTGAGCTCCAATTCATCTTCGTTCCTAGGAGTATAGTTATATAGAGCCTGAAACCTTAAATAGGACAAATGATGCATTTTAAAAAGAAGAAAGAGTTCTTTGCGCCTTTGCTGAAGTAAAGGAGCTGGTTTAAGCATTAACTGGTATGTAACACTTCTTGTAAATATAGTGGAAAAGGGTTTATTTTGCCTGGTGGACTTCAGGGCTAGGTACTTATCATAAATAAATGAATAAAACTATCGGAAAAGTAACTCATCAGACACTAAAGACTAGTGACTCAAGGCAAGCCTGATGGCTCCTCAATCAGGTGCTTTGAACACAGAATGCTGCCTTTTTTTTTTTTTTAGCATTATTTTATATTTGAGTCACCAAAGCAGAGGACTTTAGAGGGGAGTCTGTAGATGTGCTGGCCCCTTAACCCCCCATGATCAGCACCTAAAACTGTGGCTCTGCCTTTGAGCTCCAGAAAGCTGACCCCGGGGTACGCATTCTCTGCCGCGGCAGAGCCAAGTGCCACGTGGCGTAAGCCAGGTGCCTGGCATTCTTCTGTAGCAGCTCTGCATGTAAAAGAGGTGCCTTTCTCTGGGGAAAGGTGGAGGGTAATTGCTATTTGGAAATATACAGCTGTAACCCCTTGCCTTGTTAAAACTGCCCCTGCTATATATATTAAAATAAAATAAAAAAAAATCTCTGAGAGCAAGGGAGAGGCTTGAATCAAATCAGGGGATGTAAGGATAGAAACTCACACGTATTCAGACACTGACTTGTACCTCCATCCTGGCCAGGGGCTGCAGATTGAACGATGTACAGTGGATAAATGGAAAGAGGTGTGAGACTACTAAATTTATTATCTTTCATTCTTTGTCAACTTTTAATTGAGTTTCTTGGAATTGAAAGAATGGCAATAAATTCTTAATAGGGGGCACCGAAGGTGCTTGGGCTGACAGCCCATGGGAAGATTGCTGCAAAAGCAATCTGCCGCGAGTCCTGCAGAGTCAGAATCTGTCTTTTTTTCTAACCATCTGTGCCCCAGCTATGACTGACTGCGTGTAAAGGAGCAGGGTACGACTGCAGAAATTGTACAAAGGAAATGTTTCAATATTTTCAAATTAAAATTAAAACATAGTCACGTCCATTTTTCTCTCTTAACAGTTAAGTGACTTAAAAACCTTAATGTCATTACACTTCCCCCAGGAAAAACAAAGTAACTCCCCCTTCGATGTGTTGGTACGTGATATTTCCATTAGCTCTGTATCATTCAGGCAAAGTTTCCATGGCTTAAATGAGATGTTTATTTCAGTAAAAAATTCCTGCTCCTGAAAGTCCCATTTGAAAATCCTATATACAGTGCTAGGCTTAGTGTAATGATGGTCTTCTTGATTAAACTACACTTCTTTTTCACATTGCTGGTTTGGAGAAAAAAAAAGATACAGTTCCAAGAAAATGATTTTAACTTAATTTCTTATGACTGACAATTATCCCTCCAAATCTGAAAAGTCTAATTTTATATTTTAATCACACTAACAAAATGGAATGGAACTGGTTATTTAAGCAATTACCTCTGGTAATGTGTGTAGCAGGATTAAGAACAATCTGTGCAAAAAATTAAATGGCAATAACATTTTCTGTCATGCCTATCATTATTCCAGGAAAGCAGAGCTGTGATGATATTCCAAAAACTGATTAAATGCAGCTTCCAAAGGTACAGGAGTTGCAGATGTAATGTGTCATGAATAGGATTCAAGCCAATTACTTACTTAAATACTGTAACAACAACTTCCCAATTAGCACTCTGTACTTTAGAAATCTAATCTTAGTAATTTCTAGATAATCCATTTTAATAACTCCTTTGTAGTCATTTCATTCTGTCTTTGCCAATCTAAGAATTTCTTAAATACGAAAACTCTACTACCGTTTACAACACTAACAATACATATTCAAGACAAAGAATGGTTGGTTAGCAATTTAAATATTTTCTATTTTTGATTTTAGGAATAAGTAACTTTAGTCATTAACTACTTAAACTATATTGGACAAAATTAATTAGGTAATTATTGCTTACAAAACAGGGTTAGGTGCTTCAGTATGCTCAACAATACGTGGTTTTAGTTAGATTGAAACCAAAATGTCCAATTTTCATTACATATTATCTGTGGTGTAGTTATTTGGTAACTTTTTGCTCCTCGCTTCTCTCTTGCTATTTGTTCAAGTAACTGACAGGTGAAATTTTAAATATTTTTAGATGCTAAGCCTTAGTTAGATTTAGGAGAATTCATCTAATCGGGCATACTACAAAGTGCTCTGATAGGAGAGGAAGGATGGCTACTGGTTTCACTGATCACTGAAGCAGGACCCCAGTGCAAGACTGGGGGTGGGGGGGGGTGGTGAGGAGGGGAATAAAATCAAAACAATCTTGCACCAGACTTGCATTTTAACAGTCAGCACTGAAATAGCCTTGCATGTTTTATAGCAAGTGCTTACGTTGCTTGTGAAAATAAGACTTGAGATCTAGGTTCTTCTCCAATTATCAGAAGGCTTTCTTGTATCTAATTTTTAAATTGCACATGTAAATTACACCAAAAAGTGTGAGCCTGTGTTCCTGTGATGAACATCATCAAGTTATTTTTTTTCCTCTCTATTCACATCCAGAACTGTTTCTGAGTAATTTGTGTCAAATCAGTAAAGCAGATGAGTTGAATCAATGTTAAATCTTTAATTGGCATTCTGCTGAGATGTAAAAATGGCGTGAATAAAAAAAGTCAAACTTTATTTTTTACAAAATTATTATCCCTTTTAATTATAAACGGTGGAGAACTGTAAGTTGGCACGTCTGTCTGAGTTGGATGTAAATTAAACAACTAAGGCTCTGCTCTCTGGGACCTTCTTGGATATCTTCCTACATCATGTGGTTATCTGCAAATTTCTGAAATCTCTTCATAATTGTACTTGGCAGGTTAACTAATTATTTGATGATGTGCTGGCTACTGCTTAAATGTTAGGTTTTGGTTTAGTAGACAAGAAGCATACTTACGGTTCCCCCCCACTGTGTATGTTTTCATGAGAAAGCACAGGGCGCTGTGGCTGAAATGAAATGATTTGAAATGTAATAAAGATTTATAGTCTAAGGCCTAAATACTTGGATAGGGACATGATACAGAGTCGCTTGGGAGTTCATATTCTACCTTGGTAAAACAACACCCCCTCCTCCCCCCCCCTCCAACTCCCAATAAATTCTTGGGAGACATGGCAAGCAACAGAATCTTGGCAGGTGGCAGGTTTAAAGATCTGATTTTTGGAGGACATAATAAAAACTAAAACAAAACTGTGAACTTTATCAACAGTCCATTCTATTTATAGTATAAGTAGAAAGTTGGAATAGAACCCTGCTGCCTCTTCACTGTGAAACACAAATAGCATTAGAAAAATCAGATGCAACTGATGAACATTATGCATTCCCTGGGTGAAATATATTTTTAGATAAGCAGAAATAATATCTCCTAGACGTAATAGCAGAATTTAGAATATTCATAGACAAACAACATACCACTTTACATTACATACACACAGAGTACTAACTTGGCAGGCATAACATGCCATGCTTTAATTCTGTTTCATCTCAAGGGGGAGCACAAAGCCATGCAGGCTGTTGGGAGGCAAAGAGCAGAAAGAATTTTTGCAAGAATGCATGTAATTGTGTGAAAATAACAATTAACACTTTTACTTCAGAGGAAAACGTAGTTTGTATTTCCAGTGCAAAGCTTTATGAATGGAATGACTTTCCTTCTTAATGGAGCATTACCCACCACTAATATCCAATAAATCTGGATGCAATGGAAATGAAAAATATTAACCTCCTACAGAAACTGTATCCTGCTTAGAAAGGCACTGACTTCTACCGATCAGAATTTGGCTGGGACCAGAAACAGCGCAGGGGCAGCTGCTTGGGAGAGCTCTTGATGTGAGCAGCGAGCATATTCTCTGTTGACTGAGGATGCCCTGATGCTGCAGAGACTGACAGCCTGACACGAGTCTGGGAACCGTATCTGTTTTGGGAGTGTTGATATCAAACGCAGCTCATCATAGCACTTTCTTTCATGAACTGAGTAAACTGCAACCTGATCTTAAAGCCATGGGATTTGTATTATTGCTCCATGGGTCTCTCTTTCCCAGGGGCTTGACTATTTCAGTTCATCTTGCTTCAGTTTACTCTTGAAGATGAGGCAGCCTTCCATGAGAGAAGGCCACGGTAACCAACCCACAGCCTGATGACAGCAACTGAATGTTAAAACGCACTATGTTCCCCCCTTCCCCCCCAGCATCTCCAGATGAAATTGAAGTAGTTAAATTTCTGTTCATCAATATTTGTATGTGTACTCACAGAAAATATTGTGAACGTTCTCCACTTCATTTTTACAGTCTGTAGAGGATAACTTAAAAAAAGCGTCTAAAGATGCAGGCAGGTAGATTACAGAACTTTTAATTATATTATTGACAGCTAGGTGGGAAAGACGTTTTCAAAGTCCAAATAAATTTGTTTATACTCTGTGACACTCTTCTCTCCCTCATTTAACTCTCCTCTGCCAGCGTACAAGAAAGATGGATAATTTTTCCTAAAGAATCCAACAGTAAAGATTGCAAATTAGACATTTCAGTTGTCAGTAAACCCCCTTCAACAGTTGGCCTGTCAAGTAAGAAGAGAATATTCCACTGGGCAGATTGCTTGGTATTTGGACTGGAATCTGATCTTATTCTCTGCTAATCTTTCATCAGGTCCTTAAGTGAGCTGAATGCCAAAGATAGTCAGAGATGCAAAAGAACTCAACTGAAGTGAAAGATTTTTCTTGCAAACAATAAAAGTCAATGCCCTAAACAATACTACAAATGATTTAATGCTTTGAACTTATATACCAAGCCAGGTACAGACCAGGAAGAAATTAGGTAGATCGGTATTATCTTCTTTTTCTGCATATGCTTCAATGCTTTCAAACGTTTTATTGATAGTTAACTACTGTAGAAACAGATGACAGAAAATCAAAGTTAGTGAAGACTTTCAACTCTATGTTATTGCTACAGAGAAAAATTTGATGGGATTACAATCTGGGAAAACTAGGGTGAAGTAATCTGTGCTATGTCTGAGCAAGGGGCTTGTTGGAGCTCGCTCTCTATCTGAATGCATTGCTCAATAGTACCCCAGCTACATCAAGAAGCTTTCTCCCTGTTTTCTTTCACTAAGCTCTCATTCCCACATACAGTGGCACTGGCTGGAATGGGGACAGTTGCAAAGTCTGGCTAGTTGTGCTCAAGAGTAATGGTGAAATGCATTGCCCTGTGGGTAGTTCTTGGTGCAGAGGGTTTCTCGTTTCCAGCTATGGCTCAGTTCACTACGCTATCCTGTTTCCTGGGAAAAACTGTGGGGCCTAATCCCAAAAACATTAAAGAGTGCGCAGTCAAGTCAATGGTCCCAGTTGTACACCTGATTTTCATGCATGATTGATACGCATTTGCATATGAGAGTTCTGTATAGTCCTGAACATGCAAATTAGGTGTACAATCCATACTCTTGTAGTTTTGGAATTAAAGACATAAATGCACTAAACACTGACCAATATAGTCCTCTCAAATATACTGATTACATGCCACTCATTTGGAGTAACACATAAAATTAAAATAAGGCTTAATCCCTATTTTATGGATCTGAATCCCAGTTGGAGTTTCTTCGGATAGTGTTGATCCGCTACTACGAGAAACCTGGCCTTCCTATGATTGAACTGTCTCTCTTCAGTAATGAGCACTGTCCCCTCATACCTGGTAGCAAACAGAGGCCTGCCAAAAAGCTAAGACTTTGAAAAGTTACACAAACCTGCATAGCTTAAATTAAAATTCAAATTTTATAAAGGGAACTATCAGAATGATGATAACCTAAAATCAGCAGCAACAGCATGGAAAACAGTTCATCCCGTTATCAGTTTTAAGACCCAAATGTTAAGAAACCAATGCAAAACGCAATTTAATCCTAAACTGAAAGTAAAATATCACCCATAAACTCTCATTTTTGTATAGTTTAGTTTTTTTTTTTTTCATAATTCAGATCACCTTTTTGAGTGAAACATATGTAAACTCTAACCAATCTGACTTTCTGGCTAGGTAAAATGGTTACAGTTGTGCTACTGTCATAGCACAGATATGAAGGGAAAGGCGAAAGAGTTAGTTATGACAGTGTGGAACAACAGTGCTTGGATAAAGACAGCAGTATTGACTGAACATAATATCGCAGCAACAAAACATTTTGAAAACAAGGACATGGATTCAAAACCAAGAATTCAGCCCATATACATGCAATGAAGTATAAATTTTTGACTCTTAGAAGCTGTAATTTTAATAAACTAGAAATGCTTCGAAGCAGAGGAGTAATTTAGGAAAAAACAGGCTAAATGTAAAGAACTTTGATCTCTTACATCTTGTAGCACTGGAAATACTATGTAGTACTGCAGAGATTCAATACACCCATGGGTTTATAAAATAAGTTTTGGCAGACACAGACCTGTTGGCTTTACTCAGACATAGCACAGAAGCGCAACAGGAAGAAAACATGGCATGTCGATAGTATTGAGACACTTGGGCAAAAACAAAATACCAAAAGGCTAGACACTGAGCTCCTTTTGTATGGAAATGCTGTTATTGCACACGGGGCATTCAGTACCGTACCCTGTGTGAATAGCTGTGACCTCTGACAGGTGAGCTGCAGGATCTCCTAGTCATCACTGGGCTACGAGGAGGTTTACCCATAACAAATATCTCTCTCTTTACATTAGCCTAGAAAAACCACAAAAACAGTGTCAAGTGAGAGTTGAAGAATGAAGCATCGTGGGTTTTTTTTTTGTTGTTGCTTCATTCGTACAGGCAACCTGGACATGCTTGTCTTGATAACAAAAAGCAAGTGTGTTACAGCTGCAAATAATGGTACTATTAGTATATGGTACTTTGATTGTTGCCACTGTATCTTTTTTCCAAGGGTTTCCTGCTCTGGCATATGCCCTTACACATTACAGTTAAAAGACTAATCATGCACAGCGTATGCAGTTGGAGTAAGAGCAGTTATTGCAAGTGTACCCACTGAAGTAGCTCAGTTAATAATACAGAAAAGCTCAAGAGCACAGAACAGAAATCCTAGCTTAGAAATACCAATGACAAATGTTGTAACTCCTTGCTGTTAAACAGAACATGGACCTTAAATTTGCATTTAGAAAGCAAATAAATACTTGATGGAAAGTACTTCAAGAAAAAAATCCTTGTTTTGTTAGTATCACTGTAAATCGGCTAAATATTTGTCAGAACTCAGCTCCTAAGGCGGGGTGTGCAGCAAATGTGAATTCTCAGGGGCAGGGGTGAGTTGAGGGGAACGTGAGAGGAGTGAAGCACTAACAATGGAAACCTTTTCTTTGGTATTTGTGACTGTTTGCCAGTAGAATGTGGTAAGACAGAAGAACATCCCCTCTTAGGAGCTGAGAGGGTGAATAACAAAAAAAAAAAAAGGAAGAAGGCCAAGGAGGCAGGAAAACATCAGCATTTCTCCTTGGGAAGTGTCTTCAGAGTTCTTCCTTTGGAGGACACATCCCTCCCACCGACGTGGAACAAAGTGACCCTTCCCACCCATAGCTCCTTGTATTCTACTGCCCAAATCCCTGGTCATGCTTTAGATTTGAGCCACGTTCCAAATATATATATATATACACACACACACTTATACACGTGTATGGATGTGTTTTTACATCAACAGAAATTACCAAGTATCAGTATACAGTTTCAAGAACTCTGAAGAACCTCCCTTCACTTGTGATATTTGAGTCCTGGAAATGTCTCGTGTTCTTCCTGCCGTAGTGGTTGAGAGCAGACTTTAATCATCGACAACATGCAGAAAGAGAAGCGGATAGGAACTGTCCTTCCTTCTCAACTCCAGCCTGTGGACTAAGTAGCAAGAAACTGTGATAGCCAAAACCTGGCTACACTTATTTTAATCCAACTCTCTATCCTGGCGATGTAGTCAGTGTTGACTACTGAAAAAAGTTTGCTTACCCTTGGGA